AGCATGAATTTCGTCCCCTTTACATTTTGTAAAATTTGAGGTTGAGTGATAATTTTGAGAAATATGTGTTTTTGGTTGTGTTTTGTGCGTTACACAGGTCTGCTAGAGTCCAGTAAGTGGTTAAAGAGTCGATGTAGGCTTTTGACACTTAAGGTTGAGTTAGGACACCATGGTTGTGAAATTTTGGTGAAAAAGTGGTAAAATGAGTTTTGATGTCCAAATTTTTGTAGAAAATAAATTTGAGTGAGAAACCTATTCCATTAGTTAGAGCTAGGAGAAAGCTCCATGTAGGTACCAAAACCACCTCTATCGGATGTCCGACAAAGATTTGGGTCGTGTTGGAAGTTTGCTCCCATTACTGTCAAATGATAGCAGCTGCTACTGTCAAATTCATGCAATGCGTCACGGTGTATGGCACAGAGGCGAGTGAGCCACGATGCATGAATCATAAGTAACAGTAAATGGGTCATTTTCTATACAAAACAAAATTTTGAGTTTTAAATCTCATTGTTTTGTGTCCCATGTGATTTTCAAGCTTCCGTATTGTTTTAAAACTTTGATTTGAGTATATTAGAATTTTATTGAGATTGAAAATTGAGTTGTGGGATTCTATTATAAATGATTTGAGAATTCTTCTCATTTATATAATTTTACAACTTTGGTAATCCTTTAAGGGTTAATTCCTTGATTGCCATCTTATTAGAGTTAATTATGGTTAAGTAAAGGAGACCTTGCATTGTGTCGGGGAGCATTATAGGTTCAGTAGATAGATGATCGTACTATTGTGGTAATTGTGTGAAAATGCTTTGAAAAGAGGAAATTATATATGCTTTTCATATATATATATATATATAAAAGCTATTAATTTGGTTTTGTTACATTAGCATAGTTATTTGTGATAATAGATATTAAATGAACTATATTAGTTACTGAGATTTTTATTTCACCAATGGTTATTCATATTTTTCAGATTCTGATACTAATAGTATAAGGGAAAAGGAATTGGGCCAAGGGGAGAGATTTCTCCTAAAAAGCCCATTATAAGATGGTGTAATGAATGCATTTGCTAATAGTATAGTCATGTATATAAGTTGCCATAGAAATTTATACTTGTATATAAACATGTGAATATGTATGTATGTTTGTGAATTTTAAGTTCTAGCCCAATGAACTTGTGTATATTTGTGTACATGATGAAATGACTATGTGGTTTAGTGGATGAATGTGAGAACGTGTGAATATGATGAATACTTGATGAGTATATGAGATTTGGCCTTAGGTATGAATGAGATTGAGAATTAAGAAATATGCCCAGAGTGTGTGTTAGGCAGTTTATAAGCCAAATGTGTGCACGTGTATTATATTGTGTATATAATTGCTCAATCAAGTGTTGTTTGTCCATTTGAATATGGTTAAAGCCCTAGAAGTGGCCATTAACTTTGGGGTTTCAAATGGTGATGCTTAAGTGGCAAATTTTGACATAAAATGTTCAAAATGCACTTGGGAATCTAATTTTTAAAGGGGATATCGGATTTGAATGAAACCAGTGTCATTTTATAAATTATGAAACAAGCTTTGTGCGGTCACTTGAATCACCGCAATTAGACATTGAATGCAAAAAAGACGCACATCTGAAGTTCATATCAGAATCTACAATTTGACGGCAGATTCTGGTATGTGCACCATAACGCATGTGTCAATGCGTGATAACATATTGCGGCGTATGGTACAAAATGTGCTACTGAAGCCTCAATGCCATATACCATAGCTCATGTAGCATGAGCCATAACACATGGCCTATTTTTCAGGAGAATTATGATGTTTTGAGTTGCTCTTTGATGTGTTTATGTCCAATACTTCTGCTGTATGCTATTTTGAATAACATAAATGGCTTTTATAAAGATATTTTTAAAAGCTTTATATTGGGATCTCAAAGCTTTCAAAGAAGTTTTATTTTGATTAGTAAATTATGTAGAAGATTGTATGATAATGTCAATGAGAGCATTACACCAACTCATTATTTTATTAATATTGCTAACATATAATTTATGATAACTCGATTAAGCCAATTTTCACCATACCTTTATTAAAGGGATTTAGTTAATGCATTTTTGGGAGATTTTTCCTCTTTGATTATTTGACTTACACACACTCGCATATAATCTTATCGTACATTGAAAATAAATTATACTCCCAAGAAATGATAATTTAGACTAAGTTAGATGGATTAATTACTTAAAGGATTTGAATCTACTGATTGACTTAAGCTCACTCACTTAATAGGTGTTTTACTCGACATGATGACAATTGTTCAATTTAATCAAAACGGTTATTAGATATTTTATCATGTAATACTTAAAAAGTGCCAAATCTCAAATTTTAAAAATATTTAAGAATATTTGTTTCTATGATAATTGTTAAAGGGTTATGCTTTGACACAATCAAGTAAGTAAAATTTTATACTTAATTTCAAATAAATATATGAAAATTTATACAAGAAAATACATTGAGGTCAATTGGAGCTTGTAATTTAGACCAAATCTGACGGGTCATCTTGAATACATTTGAAAGATTTTAAGATTGGGATTGGGAGTTTAAAAAATTCACTTTACTTTGGGCTTAAATCTAAATACACTTAGCCCAAATCCCTCAATTCTTTTTTAATTATTAATAAAATAAAATTAATGTTCATTTTAACTTTTACTTAACATTCATATACTCTCTCTTAAACTTTCAATTCATACTCCTAAATGAAGTTTTAATGTTCTAATAATTTTTTGTTTTTAATATTTTTAAAAAAATTATTTAAAAAATAAACATAAGAGTCATATGCATTCATTTTTATTCTTTCAATACTTAGTCTCATTTTAATAATGATAGAAAAAGGTTCATTGTATTGTTATGTCACTTGAAAAGTCTTAATTTCTTTATATAAAAATCCAATTTGGCTCATAAAAAATTAAAATAAAATAATATTAAGGGGATTTTGTAGATGTAGCCTATATTATAAAACTAAACTAAGCAAGGAGCCTAACAATTATTATATTTTATATTTTTGTTGATTTATTATATTTATCAATGATATATTATTATATATCAATGATAAACCCCTTGTAAGTTTTCAAAATTTTAATGATAAATTAATTATACATCAATAATATACCTTTCATATATCAATATAAACCAGTCATATTCTCACATTTTTAAAAAATTAGTCCATATTTTGTCAGCACAAGAATTTTTTTTGGCAGTAAGTTAATTTATCCTAATATTAATTAATTTGTAAATTTAACTATATATAAATATTTTCCTAAATGGTTTACATTGTTGACAGTGTAAGACAATTAAAAATGAAATAAATAATTAAAATATTGCATACTTAATTAAAAAAATAAATAGTATATGGTAATTTATAGTGATATTATATTAAATATTTTACAATAAGCATTAATTTTATGATACTATCTCACTAATACAGGCAAAATCAATGGCATACCTGAAGGATAATATTCTTAGGGATAATATTAGTGCAATCCAACTTCCAACTTAAATAAGCTTGAAATTTTTTTAAAGTTGAGCCAAGGAAGATTGAACTTTTTTCACTCAACCAAAAATAATAATAATAATAATAATAATAATAATAATAACAACAAGATATATGACACAAATTCATACCAAATATTAATTAATCTCTTAATTTAGCTCATTTTGTACTCAAAGACTACATATATTTGTTTGCATTGTTATATATATTTTCTTAAAAAATTAAAAAGATTCATAATGTTATATTAAATTAAAATATATGGATGGCGTAAATGATAAAGCACATGGAACATGATCAATTTAGTTGATAAAAAGACTTGTTCATTTGTGAGATAAGGTGACAGATGCATTGTAAAACAAATTAAAAATATCTAATGTCTTTTCACCGTTTTTTCAAATTTAACCATGATCATTTTTTATGAAATAAGATACGGGATAATAATTTAATTTTTATCATTTTTATGATTGGACATGGGATAGGATTGAAACAATCTCATCCCATAAATACCTACTATCCATATTACTACTTATATCAAGTAGATACCATATTTAATCTTAGACTTTAATTTAAAAGGATAAAATAACCATTGGATTTAAGAGATATATTTCAATATATTTATACATGCCATATGATAAATAGATTAGATGATAATAAATGACAATTGACAAGTTTCTTATCTGACTGGCTCAAATTTAAGCATTGCAGGTCTAAATTGGAGATAACTCTTTTAAAGATATTTTATGTATTCATATATACTCAAATTTAAGACCTCAGTATTACTCATGCTACTTGAAATAATGCCTGTTAATAACAAGTGGCAAGTTTTAATATCCAATTATATAATATATTTATATAAAATTTACTATTTAATGATTGTACATATATAAAAATATTGTACTTGAAATTCGCACTAAGCATGTTGCCAGTTCCTATATAAATCATCACATAATCTAACAAAATTGAATTGCTAAAATATAAATTTGGGGGTCGAATCCTCTCCAAATCTTATTTTCTCCTTTTCTTCTCATTTTATCTGTACCCTTGAATAATAAAATAAATAGTTTAGATTTAATTGTTTCTTTACAAACAGATTTAATTATTTCATATAATAATTATCATATAAAAAGTAAATAAATTTAACTGCTAAAACTTTAGCTGCAGAATTCATAATTGTATATCATTATTGAACTTTTTATTTATTTATTTTATTAATATTGTAAATTGTGTAAGTTAAATTTTAACAGTTTAAAATTATTTATTTCTTTTGCTTGTTCTAAAGGAGTTATCCTTACTTCCTTAGCTTATTTTATGGTCTTAACTTCAACTCCAAAAATATATAATTACTTTAAATATATATGAAAAAGTTATCCAAAAAAATCAGTGATGTTGCGGTGAAAATTACGGCGTTACTTAGCTGGGGATTAGACGCAATCTGAGAAGCAGCGGCGAGAAAGGAAAAAAAAAAAATCCTCGCCGGGCAGGGACGCGCATGGAATGCACCGCTGAGAGGATATCCTTCCATAATAAATTCGAAAGACCATTACACTTTTTAACCTAAAACGATATTGTTTCAGATTGCGAAAAAACAAATACAAAGCCCAACCCCATGAATTGTCTGTAAACCCCATGGCACGCTTAATCCTAATTCTTCCATGATTCAAAGAAATTGGCTAATGCTACACGAGAGGATCCTCCTTCCCTTATCGCAGCCTCTGCTTCTTCCTTGGCTATCCCAACTCGCTTCCTCACAATCTCTCCAATCTCCGATTCCATCAACTCCCTCACTCGCTCCTCCACCTCCTCCGCCGTCACTACCCCACCCTCCTCCTCGTGCATCCACAGCGCTATCTTCAACTCTTCCACCATCACCATCCTATTCAGCCTCTGCTCCGCATACAGCGGCCAAGCCACCATCGGTACGCCAGCCACCACCGCCTCCAGCACTGAGTTCCACCCGCAGTGGGTCACAAACCCACCCACGGACCCATGGTTCAGCACCGCCACCTGTGGGGCCCACTTCTTCACCACCATCGCTCTTTCTCTGGTTCGATCCAAGAACCCCTCCGTTAGCAGCGAATCCAGATCTGGGTCTACCTGTGACGACGCTGCGAGGTTATGGATTTTCTCCGACGGAGGATTTCGTACTACCCACAAGAATCTTTGCCCGCTCCTCTCTAATCCACAAGCTATCTCCCGCAATTGCTCTTTCGAAAACACACCTAAACTCCCGAAACAGAGAAACACAACGCTTCTCTCAGGCTGCGAATCTAGCCACCGTAAACACTCATGTCCCGTGGCTCTTTCTTTATCGTATGCAATCAAAGGACCCACAGTGTAAATGGGAGGAGTTGGACTGTCAGAAACGCAAAGCCCATCGGAAATTTCTCGGAGACACTTGTGTTCCAAAGCTTCGAATGTGTTCACTATGATGCCAGCTGTTTTAGGCATAGTAGCAGCGACATTCAGGAAGTTATGATATGCTGAATCACTACGTTCAAGCAACGGTTTAATCATGTCCCCACTGGGTAACGGTGGGATTCCAGGGATGTTGAGAATGTTATTGAGATCTTTGATGCACTTGTCAGTGGTGCGATGGATGGTCGGAAAGTAGAGAAAGGCGGCGAGGCAGGCGGCGGGGCTGGTGAAAAAACAGTAAGCAGGGATTTGAAGTTTTGAAGCAAGAGTGAGAGCTTCGAAGCAGAAGGAGTCAGCGATGAGGGCACGAATGTTGTAAGTTTTAGAGAGAGAAATCAAAAAATCGTGGAAATTTGGGTTGTTGAGGCGAAGTACCTCAAACATTAGGGTTTCATGGTTAGGGGTGGAAGAGAATGAAGTAGGAAGAGAAACAGGAGGGAGGCTGTGGAAGACGATGGAGGGAGTGATGGAAGAAGATACAGAGGCAATGTAGTTGGAGATAGAAACGGCGTCGTATGGAGGAGAGATAGTGAGGATGTGAATGGTGAGAGGTGGACGATGATAGTGAGAGAGAATGAACTTGGCAAGCTCAACCATGGAGACAAGGTGGCCTCTAGCGGCAGTTGGGTAGAGAATTATTGCATCGTTGTTGGTCTCGGTATTCATGTTTGTGGATTTGCTTTGTCTGGTGACAGTTGGCTCTGACGGTGAAACAAAAAATCAGAGTTGTTCGAAACTACAATACCAATGGGGTCGGAGCTCGGAAGTGAGATGATTATATAGAATTCAAAATTCAAAAAACATTTTGTTTTTTAATAATCGTAGAAAGGAGGCTTTGCAAACGTACGTACATGTAAATTAAGTGCTAGAAAGGTTTTTAAATCATTAATCAAATTCTTATTATTAATTCAATCAACTTTTGTTGGCTATTAATTTGTTTTTATCCCCTGAATAGATCGATGTTTTCAAATTTGTTGTATTGTATTCCATTTTTTTATTCTGCTTATGTAGTGACAGTTTTTAAATAATATTTAAATTTAAATACTTTATTTTAAATTATATTTTTTATTATAAAAGACATAAATATAATGTGAGTCCTGTTCTTTAATGGCCTATTGTATATATCATTTATAAGAACTTATAAAAAATTTGATTCATTTTATACTTGTGCAAAGTTTGGAAAACACAATGTAATTTTATATGTTCAACATTGAATAAAATGTTCTTATAAGTTATAATATTAATAATTTAATAAGATTGATTTGTTAATTTAAAGAATATGAATTATAGCTTTATGAGAAATTAAAATTTTAAAGTTTAAAAAAATTAAATGAGAAAAATATAATATACATTCAACCGTTAGTTTCAATTTATTGTTTTAATTTTATCTAGTTACTTTCTAATCTTTTTAGCTTTAAAAGAAATAGTTATTTTATACTCCCTCTATTAAAAAATATAAAATATTTTTAATTGAATCTCACCTCTTAATAAAATAATTAATTATTTTTCAACTAACTATATTTTTTCATATTTATTCTTATTAAATATCCTACAATAAATATAAAGTTATTATTAATAAGGGTGCTTTTAGAAAGAAGGCAATAATTATATTTTAAAAGATTAAAAATATTTTATATTTTTAAATATTTAATTTTTTAAAAATATTTTATATTTTTTAATAAAAAAAGTAATTTTATAACAATAAATTTTTAAAAAAACATGTTAAACATTAGATACGGTAGAGGTTTTTTTTTTTTTTAACCAATAAAGGAAAGCATACATTAAATAAAAGAGAAGAGTTCAAATCATAAGGTAGTGGTCACGTCAACAGTACACAAAATTACAAAATAAAAGATAAGGCAGAGGATTGCACACGGTAATGTCATTCAGTTTGAGGATGAAAATTTTACCCCAAAAAAAAAAAATTACAGGATGAAAAGACCGCAAGAAAGACGACATCCTTCCCCGTGCTCTTTCTACGGAGATCTTCCGAAGGCCAAAGCTGCCGTAAGCCTCACGGCTCTTAGTGAAGACACATCATTCACTTCTCGAAAGGGATTTGCACTCAATCCATTCGATCCAATATCATGATAAGCAAATATTGGTCACAATTTAATTATTTAATTTCCATAATTTTAAATTAATTATAATTTAATTTTTAAATTTTAATTTATTATAATTTAATTTTTAAAATTTTAATTTGGTTATTTAAATTATAACTTTTATAATTCAATCCTTATAATTTTAATAATTTAAATGTCAATTTATATATCTTAAAAAAAAAAAAATATAAAAATTATGTTTAAATTTATTATTAAATTCTTTAATTTTTTATAAATATTATAAATATTTAAAGATTAAAATACTTTTAATCTTTTAATTTTATTTTTTTAAACTATAAAGGTTAATATTTAAATGATTAAAATTATAAGAATTAAATTATAACATGTAAAATTAGGTATTGAGTTACAATTGAGTTAAAATTATAAGAATTAAATTATAATGAGTTAAAGTTTAAAATTAAATTATAATTGAGTCAAAATTAGAGGAATCAAAATGATTAATTTTTTCAATAGATAATATAATTAAAAATTTGAAGTACTCCTTCCATTTAAAAAAATAAGGTATTTTTGAAAGGGTTAGATATTCAAAAATATAAGGCATTTTTAATCTTTTGAGGTGTAATTATTACCTTTTTTTTAAGTGTCCCTATTGATAGTAATTTTATATTTATTATAAGATATTTAATAGGAATAAATATGAAAAGATAAAATTAATTTAAAATAAGTAATTACTTTATTAAAATGTAAAATTTAACTAAAAATATTTTATTTTTTTAAATGAAGAGAGTTTATGTTTAAAAAGAAAAAACAGAAACAAGTTAAAGCTGACGCACATGAGTGGTCCACGGCAGTACCTACGGACTGGATTCCATTTCATGTCGTGGTGATCTCTTTTTTATGCCCTTTTAACCATTCTCTTTTTTGATCAGATAAGTCAAACATTGCCTTATTGATTATTGGAAGAAGTTTAAATAAGGGCGAGGGGATATGCTATAATTATTAGTAGGTTTTAAAAAAAATTAAAATTTCAGTTTAGTTTAAAAGGATAAAAATAAAAAGTTATTTTAACTTTTAAAAGATTAAAGTATCCTTCACTTACTATGTATAATTGTTAACACTTTTATTTCATTTGTTAATTTATCAATATCACTTATAAATGACATCTATTTGTCAAACAAGCACTAACATTAATTGTTACTTTGATAACTTTACTTTTTAATTTACTAACATCAATTGTAAATTACAAGCTTGTTAGTAATTTACAGCTGATGTTAATAAATTATAAGAGTTGTCAGTAATTTACATTTAATGTTAGTAAATTAACAAGTAAAGTTAGAAATTTAATAATTGATGTTGCTATTTATGATTGAATAATTGATGTCAAGTGTTATATAATTATTGACATGTTAACTCATATAATTTGTAACTCATATTAGTAAATTAATAAGTGAAGTATATAAAAAAATTAACAATTAATGATTTTATATAACAAGTGAAGGGTATTTTAATTTTTTTATAATTAAAATTATTTTTAATTTTATTCCTATAAACTGATTTGAATTTTTAAATTTTTTTTAAAACTTACTAGTAACTATATCATATCTTTTATTTTTATCTGAAATTCTCCCTTGATTTTTTGATATGATAACTATATATTTAACGACGTTGGCTTAATTATACTTATATATAAAAATCAAAAAGTTTTAATAAATATAGAGTCAATAATTCTGTCAACTTAGGATTATTTAGGTTGGATTTTATTTTTGGGTCTATTCTAGTTGATCTGAGTAGGCCAAACATTAAGGAAAATATCGTTTTACTAGGTCCAATGACAAATTTACAAGTTATCTTTTTGACATTTATAATTTCTTCAAAAATTACAACTTAACTATTGTATTTATAATTTTAAAAGTAAATGTTAGTTTTTTTGACAAATATAATAGTTGAATTGTTAAAAAACAATCATCTATACATCTCGGAAATACTAGTCAAGCTATTAATTTTTAAAGAAAAATTATAAGTTTTTGTGGAATGTTTATAAATAATAATTATTAATACTTTAATATGATATTATTAAAATAAATATATTATGTTTTTAATTATTTATTGGCATTAGTGTCAATAATGGAAATAGGTAATTGCCCAGTGGCCTATGACATCTTGATTTTAATTTCTAGCATCCAAGTAATGACAAGATTATTTTACTGTGAATGAAATTTAATTTGTAATTAATTGAGTAAAATATAAATTACTTAAAAAGGGGTTAAATTTTAAGAATTTAATTCCAAGGCATAGGTTTTTTATTTTAAGATAAATTTATAAAGTTAACTGAGAGGTTAAAGTGTATTTTTCCCATACTTTCGTCCAAAGAATGCCGAATACCCTATACTAATAAATGTGATATTTTTCTCTCTAAACCATTCTCCAGAAGAATAAAAGTCACCCAATAGAAAATGGAAGAAGATTTTTGCCCATTTGAAAAATGATTTAAGAGAAAAATGTCTTACTTATTAGTACATGTGCCTAGTGCTTCTTGAATGAAAAGAAACTTTAGGAGACAACACTCCTAGAAAAAGAAAAGTTTAAAGATAAATTAGCACCTAAGGACATGGCATGCTAACAAAAATAGCTTTTTTAATATATCACTAACCAAGGGAGATTTTTGCTCTTTTAAAAACTGGTTTAAGGAGAAATGAACTTTAATCTTTAAGTGAGATTAAATAAAAAGAAATTTAATGTATTTTTGTAATTAAGAAATTGTATTTATTTAAATTAAATTATATTGAAGTAAAATACTCAAGGTAAGATTTAATCTTTTAGGCTTTTCAAAAGGCTTTGATTAATTGGAGATAAATTATAATAGAGAATTTAAAGCGGGGGGTAATTATTCTAAAGTCCCAAACAAAGATTGTAAATATCTTTATATTATGTTTGAATGCATATAGATTTAGATTTGAGTCAAACCCATTGTTTAGGTATAATTAAAAATGTGTGAATTTAAATTTGACCCAAATTTAAATTCAAATCTTACCTCAATCACTTTGAAATTTTAGATAATTTCTAAACCCTTATTATTTTAAATTTTCATGTAAGCCTCTTTATTCCTTCACATTTGTTTGTTGACTTTGCTACCTTCTCAACTTCAACGTTGCTGCCTCTGGCAAACTTCTATTAGGGCCAAACCACTACGTTGATTGGGATCAGACAACCAACTTCAATTGGGATTGAATTGCAGGCAACAACCAGGATCAGAATGTCGATGTTGACCGAGACTAGACCACTAGCTGTAAGGTCAAACAACAACATTCAAGAGGGAGGTAAATTGGGTGTTTAGAAAATTTTTAGTCTTCTTAAAATTTTTAAAATTTGAAGATATAACTGAAACTTTTTAGTGAAATAAGTAAATAGAGAAACTTTTAAAGCTTTAGCTACAAATTTCAAACACTTGGAGAACCTAAATTCTTTTGTTGTAGTAGTTAATAAGATAATCACAACTATAAAAGAGTTGAAATTAAAGAGAGTAAGGATAGAGATATTGCACAATAATTTTATCCCAATTAAGTCGACATTGGCCTACATCCATCCCCTAAGCTCATGTAATATCATGAATTTCTAATGCTGTATTACTGATTAATTAAGAATGGATCGGTGATTTAAGGTGGGAATAGGATTTTGAGTAGTGAAGTATTATTTTGACTCATAGGGATATTATATAAACAGATATGAGTAGAAGAGCGGAGTCTCAAAGTAGAACA